AGTACTCTGAATACAGGTGTTGATAACATTGAACTGGGTGCGAGTTCCTGGAAGTGAGTGGAGGGCTCAGGATTGCTTTGATGTTTTGTTTTCTAGATGTAAAGGACTCCTTTTTTTTCTCCTCTCCTTTAAGCTGTCTATAACTTGCAGCAATCTGGTAAAATGTATCTTTGCAACAAGGTTGAAGCATCTATCTTCTTCTCCCTGCTGATTCTGTAAGTATTCTTTTCATAACTACGTACTTATTTGCATGGGTTCAGTGAAGGTCTGTTCTCCTTGTAACCGGACACCATAGAAAGTATTGGCTACATTACCAAGACTTTGACTAGAATATTATATTCAGGAAAGACGTACACAGATCCAGACATGACCAGACAGCTTTAAGGAACTGCTAAAAAATCAGCCTCGTACCTTGCTTACAAGGTTCCAGCAAAGCAATCTCAAAAAAGAGCTTATATGGTCAATCACTATTCTTGCTGCATTTATATTAATAATCAGGCCAAGCTTAATGCAAACAAATGTTTTACTATGATTATCTTTATTTTTAAAATGAGGATTATTGTGGAGAGAGAAATCATGTTTGCACCTTTGTAGATATTAAATTCTAGTCCTATTAATTATCCTTAGGGTTTTGTTATACCTGTAAGCTGTACTGGATCCTAAATTCTTCTAGTTTCCTTAAATGTCCAGCTATGATACTCCAAACCGACATTTCCAATTTTACTGCCCTTCAAATCTCCTTGGAAGTGACTATAATAGGTCCTCCTCACTACCCATATGGCAGCCAAACTTCAGAAACTCAAGCCTTGGGTGCACCTCTCACAGCTGAAGAAGGCTCCACCTGACATCTGGTCCTTCACAAACGCTGGAGACTCCAGATCACATTGACCAGGAAGAGAAGCAGCTGATATCTGAGGCAGACAGCTTTCCCGAGATGACTGGACCAGGCCTGTACACCCTCTTACCACTGTTGTTTCTTACTTTATTTTCTCTCTCCCTTTCCTGGAGGGACAATGCCCTTGTCCGCATTTCCCAATCCCTTGCAAAAGAGGGAAACCTTTCTGATTGCTGGTTTGCCATCAGAAACCTCAGTCTGTCCAAGACAGTAATGACCCCTTAGTACACCCTATAAGTAATTTCAATGGGGTTCCAGGTGCTGTTTCTTGTGTAAATTGATCTGCTGGCCCATTTTACTGACTCAGGGTGCTAAGCCTACCTAAACTAATCCCTTGCTTTAATTTGACCCAACCTTGGAAGAAAAACAAGATCTTTTGAATATTTATATAAAAAATTCTGTGAGGCTGCCAGTGTAATCCAGGCCATCTTAAATTTCTTGATGTAGCCATATATTTAGACAACCTCTCAGTGTGTAACAACATAGTATCTGAGCCTTGGTTATATAATGCCAATGCCTCTATGCTAATGAAGAACTCTATAGATGCTATCACTTATGTGGGGGCCTTATGCACACCCCCTGGTTATGTCTTCATCTGTGGAGGATTCAGTAATGGCCTTTATGCTTGGGCAACTCATCGCCTTGACAGCTGAAGAATACAAGGACAGCGTGCCCTTGCCGTCTTCACTGTCCTGTTCTCTCTGCATAACCAGAGACCTCTCATTGGTCTCTCCCATTAAATCTCCATAGCCACCCTAAATGAGAACTTCTAGGAGGCGTACATGACTCCGGGTTTGCCTCCGTGGGAAGAACTTTCTTCCCGTGGATCAGAGTGAGTGGCAATGAACAAATGATCAGGAATCTCTCCCTGACTCTAGAAGAGCTGGCCGATTCCACAGCCAAAGCAGTTTCAGCTCAGCAATGGTCACTTAACTCATTGGCCAAGGTGGTCTTGGATAATTGTGTAGCCCTCAATTATCCACTCGCTGTGTCTGTGCAGTGGCAAACGCCTCCTGGTGCACATGGATAAGTGCCTCTGGGGAAGTGGAAACCCAGTTACATCAGATTGGAGAGCAGCCATAGTGTCTACAACCAATTTCACCTAACGATCCAGTCTTTTGATTTGTTCAGCTGGTACCTTCAGGTCTGGGCTCCTGGTTTAGAACCATTTGCAAACTGGGCTTATAGTATTGCTCTTAATCTTACTCTGTCTACTTGTTGTGAAGTTCTGTACCTATTGCCTGGTGAAGCTCTGTAGAAATGGTGTACCTAATAAGGTGATGCTATCTCAGCACTTGAAGATGATCTCCGAGGCCTATGACCTTGGAGAATATAGACTTTATACGGGAAATGCCTGTGAATTCTCCCTCCTAACCTTCCTTGTCACTCAATGTGGCTGATATGGCTTCCAATCACTATGCACTTTCCCTCCAACGTGGGACATGACAACGAGGAAAAGTTGTTCCTGGCACCGAGGGACAAGATCACCATGTGCAGAGAACCTGACTATTGATCAGTGATGCTTTCAGAGAAAGATCTTGATCAAAAGGGAGAAATGTGGAAATTAGTAAAAGAAACCTCAACTAAACTAAAGTGGGGAAGGCCTGTAGGGGGAGTTCTCGCCCCCATCACACACCATCAATCACACCAAACAGGAAGAGATACACTTCATCTTGGGTAAGAAGTACAACTACTTTACTACTGAGGGATTTCTCTCCCAACCTGGCAACAGCCCAGCCAATGAGAAATGTTGCAGCTCAGCCAATGAGAAATGCCTCAGCTCAGCCAATGAGAAACACTACAGCCCAGCCAATGAGAAACACTACAGCCCAGCCAATGAGAAACACAGCAGTTCACCCAATGAGAAATGCCTCAGCCCAGCCAATGAGAAACACAGCAGCTCGGCCAATGAGAAATTCTACAGCTCAGCCAATGGGAAACACAGCAGCCCAGCCAATGAGAAACATCACAGCTCAGCCAATGAGAAGCTGTTGCTGCCCTGAAGTGTTACTTCCCCCCAACAGACTTCCCTTCAGAACAGCCCCTCCCTGCTCCCCTTTTTCTCTATAAAAGCAGCTCCCCTCCTTTTGTTACCCTCGAAGGTGGGGCCTTCTGCTGGTGGCAAGACATGCCAATAGTCAAGAGGCAGGGTGGTAGGAGAAAAAGGACTTTATTATTACAGCTTGCTAGCAAGAGGGAAGATGGCCGACTGATGTCCAAAAGAACCAACCTAAGAGGGCAGGAAATCTTACAGTAGTTATATAGGCCATTGGGTTATTGGGGAGAGGGTTAGGAATGTTGACCTTCTGGTGTTACAGACTGGGAGTGCCACACCAGATCTTTCAGTTTTCACTGATGATGGCTATCAGCATAGATTCTCTGTTCGGGAGTCATCACATTCCTAAGTAATTCAAAAATGCAGTTATCATCTTATCGCAGCTGGGAGGTACATGCACAAGCAGGGGTCGTAATATCTACAGTGCAGTTAGATCTCCCAGAGGGTTTGTATCCAGCTGGGTTGGTCTGTCAGAGGGCATTCAAAGTTTCAATAGAGTTTTTCGTTTCTACAATATGGCTTCCCTTACCTCAACCTTGTCTTGAGCAGGTATCACTTTCTTTTCTGGGTTTCCCTACGGTTCATCATAGCATGCAGTACCTGAATTGCAATTCTTTTGGCTAGTCCACAATAAACTCCTTTTGAGGATAAAATAACATGCAAATTTGCTTTTAAGTTGACAGTCCCTTCCCCTCATCTGCAAGGCTGCCTCAAGTGCTACTTTTAAACCATGTTTTATTTGAACATCTTTATTTGTGAATGTGTTGTTATTTAGAAGAATACATAAGTGGGAGCGCGGCCTGCCAACTGGAGGTATCAGGCGAGAAGCGTGACCCCGGGGGGCCAAGAGGTGCGTGGGGCGGGTCCTGCTACGCCCCAACACCTACTCCCTGGACTGGAGCAGAGAAGTGGGAGGAGAATCAGCGTCCCACAGCCCTGACGCCCACCGCCCGCCCACCCGCTTCCCTCGCGCACGAGGCTTGCTCTGAGCCGACCAGAGACGCCGCGCCGTCCTAGAGCAGCCCCAGAAGTGCGGGGGCAGGGCCGCGCTGCCGTTTCCGGCGTCGGCGATCTCGGGGGTAAGACGCCGGCGCGGGCGAGGGCGCCCTCGCGGCCACCTGGGTAGGGGCGGGGCGTCCCCCGCGCGCATCTCGGCCCCGCCCCTCCGCCTGGCCCCGCCCCCCGGCTCCTACTCCCGCGCTGTGGCCGGGGCGGTGGGCGCGAGCTGCCCGCGGGCTCCCTGGGAGGCGGGGCGGGCGCCGCGGGCCGAGGTGTGTCCAGGCGGAGTCTCGGGAGGTCCCAGCCGAGGTCGCGATGGCGAGGGGCGGCCGCGCCGAGGTTTAGGGGGAGACTTGCCTGGCGGAGGGTCGGCCCGACCGGCCTGGAGCGCGGGAGACGCGCGCCCTGTGCCTGCAGTCCTGGCGGCCAGAGCCCGCGGGCCGGAGCCAGCGAGGCCGCAGGGCTGTGGAGGAGGCCGGAGGGGAGGCTGTGGGGAGTGAGGATGCGACCGCAGCCTGGCCTAAGGGGCGGCGAGGGACGCGGGAGGCCGACCCAAGGGGCTGGGGACGAGGGCGTGAGAAGGCCGGCGCCATCCGCCCTCCCACGTCCTCTCCCCCCTGGTGGGGCCAGGCTGGGGGCTGCGCGGCCTGTCCCGGGTGCGGCTCTTCGCACCAGCTTGGCCCGGGAAAGTGGCCCACTGGAGCTGCCAGCTTCCACCCGCCGGGGCTCTCCTCTGCCGGTTCTGGGGAGTTTCCGTGTACCTCTGGGCTATCGGACACGCGTTGGCTCGTGCTGCAGTGACCTGCCTCTGACCAGCAACTTCTACGGCGGACTTGACGCGTGGCCGCAAGAGGCCACTGCAGGAACCCATTTCTGCCGTCCTTCACCTGGCCCCCCTCCACACCCGTGGGCCATGGGAGTTAGAGGAGTGACTTAATGACACTGGGGCTGAGTGTGAGTCCCCTTCCCCTGAGGGTGCGCTAGGGAAGGCCCAGGCCAGGGCAGCAGGTCCTCAGGTCCTGAGTCTTCCCTGAGACCCCGCTCCCCCAGGATGGCAGCGGCACCTCGGTGAGTTCACCGTGAGTTCACCGTGCTCCCTGCCCTCCCTCGCCTGGAGCCGTGAGCCCCGCGCCCGGAGAAGGCGACAGTCCTAGCACGCAAAGACAGGGGCCTGGGATTGCATCACTCCCTCCCCCAGCGAGAGGGGCTCTGGGGCTCAGCTGGTCCCCACGGCGCAGAGGCCGGCGGGTCTGCCCAGTGGCGCGGCCCCGGGTAGCGGCCACTTGTCGTCGCAGGAGGCGGAGCCGCTGACCTTCCAGGACGTGGCCGTGTACTTCTCTCGCGCGATGGGGCGGCGGCGGCTGGGCCCGGACCAGCGGCCGCTGTACAGGGACGTGATGCTGGAGAACTACGGGCACGTGGCCTCGCTGGGTGAGGCTCTCCGCCTGGCCTGCGTGGGGGCCTCTAGGGAGCTGGGAGGAGGGGCTGCTTCCGCACTTTGGAGCCCAAAGAAGAGGGTCCGGCCCCTTGTCCCCAGGTACCGCATATTCCCGGTGGGAGAGCCTGCCTTGCTCCCGATTCCAACGACTTCACTCCGCGCTGCCCACGCCCACACATGTGCCTCTAGGGGTGGGAGGACTGAGGAGTGCATTCTGCTTCAGCGCTCACCCCTGCCTCCCCTGACCAACCCCTTCTTTTCCCCCAACAAGCACACACTTTGTGACCCCGCCCCACCGCGAGAGCTCCCCTCCAACCTGCCCAGGGTGGTCCCGAGACTGCACTTCTCACCTGGCTTGAAGACCCGGCGGGGAGTGGCCTGCCCCAGCTCCAGGTCCACACCAGCTCACCCAGGGCCGTGTCCTCAACAGGACTCCCTGTCCCTAAACCGGAGCTGATCTTCCAGCTGGAACAAGGCGAAGAGCTGTGGGTCCTGGATCTTCTGGGAGCTGAGGAACCGGAGGCCTTGAGCGGCTGCAGGACAGGTGAGAGGTTGGGGGCTGCCCCAGAGTGGGGTGCTGGTTGGGTAATGATGCTGACTTCCCTGGGCTCCTGGGGGCAGCCTCAGACGGACACAGCAGCCTATACTTGTGCAAACATAGGCACACGCTGTAAAGGCTCTCATCTTACTGCTTTGTTTGCTTTGCCTTTAAAAAATGTACAGTTCTTCTGATTATTAGAGAAGTTTGCATTTAGTGATTTCCTCTGTGGTTAAACCTTGTAATAGCCTCATTCCCTCTTTCTATAATTACCTTCTTACCCTCTTTCTTTAGACAATAGCTATTGGTTCTCCACCAGATTCACCTGTAAAATAAACATATTCTTTTTTCCTCCATCTGCCAATTTTAGTCAATAATATTCCTTTTTGTTTTTTTAATGTTTACCTTTGAACTTGCTTCTACTGTTTGACTTGTCAGCTCTAAGTGTTCACTTTGACTTCCAGCTACTGAGACACCAGTGACTGCTCTGCTTTCCCTTTTTCTCCCAATTTTTGGTCAATTGTATTGTTTGTACATTGTCAAAGCATATAATACTTCTTCACTCGTATCCCCTCTTTTGTTAGTGCCTTAGATCTACAGCTAAATGTATTGTTTGCCCCTGGTCCTTTTACCAAAATTTTCTCCATCGTCTCTGGGTTGGATGGTTACTGTCTTCTAGTAGTTTACTCAGAAAGGCGCTTATGAATAATATAGCCACAATTTGTGCACATTCAAAATTGGTTATATGAGGCCTTTAGTTTCTAAAAGTAGAAGCTTTGATCATTGACTTGAGATATTTCTTATAGGCAATTAAAGTTATAAATTTTCCTCTAAGCACAGATTTAGATGCATCCCACAAATTTTTAATATGTTGTAGTACTTTTATTATCATTTAGTTCAAAATATTATCTAATTTTTCTTCTGTTTCTTCTTTGACCCAATGATTATTTAGACATGTGTGTTTAATTTCCAAATAGTTGGTGTTTCCTAGTTCTTACTGTTATTAATTTGTAATTTAATTCTATTGCAGTCCAGAACATCCTCTGTGTGATTTCATTGTTTTTACATTTATTTGTTATTGTTTTATGACTCCAAATTTGGTCTATCCTGGTAAATGTATCATTTGTACTTAAAAAGAATGGAGATACTGCTGTTGTGGGGTTTATAAATATCAATAGAGTGGGGGTGTTGATGGCATTGTTCACATCCTCTGTGTCTTTGCTGATTTTTTGTCTAGTTACTCTTTCAGTTGCTAAGAGAGAGGTGTTAAAATATCCAGTATGATTGTGGAGTTACCTGTTCCTCCCTGTAATTTTTTCCATGTTTCTTTCATGTATTTTTTTGTGTGTGTGTGAGGAAGATCAGCCCTGAGCTAACATCCATGCTAATCCTCCTCTTTTTTGCTGAGGAAGACCGGCTCTGAGCTAACATCTATCGCCAATCCTCCTCCTTTTTTTTCCCCGAAGCCCCAGTAGATAGTTGTATGTCATAGTTGCACATCCTTCTAGTTGCTGTATGTGGGATGCAGCCTCAGCATGGCCAGAGGAGCGGTGCGTCAGTGCGTGCCCAGGATTTGAACCCGGGCCGCCAGTAGCGGAGCACACGCACTTGACCGCTAAGGCACGGGGCCGGCCCTCTTTCATGTATTTTGGGGCTGTGTTATTGGTGTCATTCACATTTATGATTATCATTATAAAGCATTCCTCTTTATCTTTGGTCATAAATTTTGTTTTGAAATATATTTTATCTGATACTAACATAGCAACTCCAGCCATCTTATGCTTACTGTTAGCATGGTATATCTTTTTCCATCCATTTAATTTCAACCTAGCTGTGTCTTTATACTTCAAGTGAATCTCATGTAGACAGCCCACAATTGGGTCTTGTTTTGTTTTTTGTTTTTTGGGTTTTTTTGAGGAAGATTGGCCCTGTGCTAACATCTGTTGCCAGTCTTCCTTTTTCTTTTTCTTTTTTCTCCCCAAAGCCCTGGTACATAGTTATGTATCATAGTTGTAGAGGTGTAGCTCTTCCATGTGGGACATCACCTCAGCATGGCTTGATGAGCGGTGAGTGGGTCTGCACCCAGGATCTGAACCAGTGAACCCTGGGCCACTGAAGCAGAACGTGCAAACTTAACTGCTATGCCACTGGGCTGGCCCCTGGGTCTTGTTTTTTAATCCATCTTGACGATCCTTGCCTTTTAATTGGAGTGTGAAGCCCATTAATATTTAATATAATTGTTGATATGGTTCAGAAAGGCATTTGTGAATAATATTTTATTTTTTATTTTATAGCTATCTCCTCTGTTTTGTGTTCCTCTGTTCCTCTCTCTAGCTGTTATTTGGGTTATTTGAACGTTTTTTAGAATTCCATTTTAATTTTCCTATTTGCTTTTTTTTTTTTTATTTTTCCCCCAAAGCCCCAGTAGATAGTTGTATGTCATAGTTGCACATCCTTCTAGTTGCTGTATGTGGGACGTGGCCTCAGCATGGCCGGAGAAGTGGTGCGTCTGTGCGCGCCCGGGATCCGAACTCAGGCCGCCAGCAGCGGAGCGTGCGCACTTAACCGCTAAGCCACAGGGCCGGCCCCCTATTTGCTTTTTAAGTAATCTTTTTGCATGTTTTATAGTGATTTTCCTAGGGATTAAATATTCCTACTTTAGTTTTTGCAGTCTACTCACAGTTCATTATGTCCTACTTCACAAAAAATCCAGAAATCTTGCAACCATTCCCCATCCTTTATGTTATCATTGTTATATGTAATACGTCTATGTATTTTTTAAAACTCTACAAGAAAATGTTATGTTTAGTTTTAAACAGTTTTGTAGTTTACAAAAAATTAAGAGAACAAAGGCCAAAAAATAGTCTTTTGTGTTTACCCCAATATTTTTCGTGTCCAGTGCCCTTCATTCCTTTCTGACGATCTGAGTGTCTGCCAAGTGTCATTTCCCTTCAGCCTGAAGAACTGCCTTTAGCATTTCTTGTGGTGCTCATCTGCTCCGTCAGTTCTCTTAGTTTTCTTTTATATGAAAATGCCTTTATTTTCCTTTCATTCTTGAGTGATATTTTCTTTGGATATAGAAATCTGGATTCACAGAGGTTGGTTTGTTTTGTTTCATTTCATTTTTTCACTCAGCACTTGAAAGATGTTGTTCCACTCTCCTGGCCTCCATGGTTTTTGATGATGAGTCAGCCATTAATTGCATCATTGTTTCTCTGGATGTAACAGGTCATTCTCCTGCTTTCAAGATGTGCTCTTTGGGGGCTGGCCCCCTGGCGTAGCAGTTAAGTGCGGGTGCTCCACTTCGGTAGCCCGGAGTTCAAAGGTTCGGATCCCAGGCGTGCACTGACGCACTGCTTGTCAAGCCATGCTGTGGTGGTGGCCCATATAAAGTAGAGGAAGATGGGCATGGATGTTAGCCCAGGGCCAATCTTCCTCAGCAAAAAGAGGAGGATTGGCAATGGATGTTAACTCAGGGCTAATCTTTCTCACACACACACACAAAAAAGATGTGCTCTTTATGTTTGGTTTTCAACAGTTTGATTATGATGTGCCTCCATATGGGCTTCTTTGTGGTTATTCTTCTTGCTGTTGTTTAGCATCTTGATTCTGCAAATTTCTGTCTTTATAATCAAATTTGGGAAATTTTTGCCTTTATATCTTGAAATTTCTTTCTGCACTGTACTCTCTCTGGTCTCCTTCTGGGATTCCAATTATACATATGTTTGACTATTTGATGTCATCTAACGGGTCCCTACAGCTCTGTTTATTATTTTTAAAGTCTTTTTTGTCTGTGTTCTTCACTTCAGATAATTAATCTAGATTCAAGTTCACTTATTCTTTCCTTTGCCACGTCCACTTGTCTCTTAAGTCCATCAGTGAACTTTTTAATTTAGAAATTGTGTTTTTGAGTTCTAAAATGTGTATTTTGTTCTTCTTTATTGTTTATATTTCTCTGCTGAGACTTCTCACTTCCCTGAGATTTTCATGTTTTGTTTTACTTCGTTGAGGATAATTGTAATAGTTGCTTTAAAATCCTTGTCTGTTAATTCCAACATCTGGTTCATTTCAGGGTCCAACTTGGTTGATTTTCTTTTCTCATGAAAATGTTGCATTTTCTTGGTTCTTTGTGTGTTGGCTAATTTTGGAGCGGAGATTCTGGATTCTGTTATTTTTCTCTGATGAGCATTACTCTCTTTATTTAAGCTACTTTTCATGGCTGGGCTTGCACTGAAAACTTTGTTTCCCATGCAGCCTCTGTGGTGTCTTCAGGCCTTTTGTTCTTAGCTGGGCTGCTTTGAGTCTGTCCTGTGCATGTGGTTCAGGCATCAGTCAGAGATGTGGGTGGAAAGAGTTTGGGGTGCCCCTTTCTGGCTCTTTCCTTTCCAGGAATCCTCCACTATCTTTAGAGTTCACGGTGCCTGGCCTCTCGTTTCTGGCTCCCCAGGCCACAAATGCTGTGTGTTTTTTCACCTGTGCCCCTGCATCTGCACCTGCCTCTGCACATGGCAAGGCTGCCCTTAGCCTCAGGCTGCGAGCGATGGAAGGGGACTCACTCTAATGCCCCGGGCCCCTCCTCTGAGTGGGTGTGCACCTCCACCAGCACACATCAGCTTCTGTTCACTCCACTACCTTCAGATGGTTGCTTTTTGTGTTATGTCCAGGTTTTATGGCTATTTTCTGCAGTGGGTCGGGGAGGTTGTCCAATAGCATCTTTGCCCATCATACTCAGAGGCAGAAGCCATATGTGACCTTTACGCTTAAAAGACCGCCTGACTGGATGTAAAATCCTTGGCTCACATTTTCTTTCCATAAATAAGTTGGAGGTCTTATTCCACCATCTTCTGGCATCAAATGTCACTGACACCAACCTGCCTCCTTTCCCTTCTAAATGAATTGGCCTCTTCACCTGGATGCTCCGCCAAATTCTTTATCTTTAAAGCCCACTGACTTTGTTAGGGCATGCCTCAGTGTTTATTGTTCTGGGTCAGTTTGCCCTGGTGTTT